CGAGGACTCCAAGCACGCCAACCTACACCATCAGCACTGCAGACTTATCCCATCCCCCAAGCATGAGCCAAGGCTTCAAGAAAGGGTCAAGCAGGGCTGTTTAACCCCTTAAAACCGGAGGGCGTACTATTATGCCCTATTCTAAGTGGCTCTAAATGCCGCAGGGCGATCGCGGTTGGGGAGACTCACCTGGGATCCCAGGGAGTCCACCGCGGCGGATCCTGCCTCCTCCACCCCCCCCCCCAGCCATGTGAGAGTGAGGTCCTTGCGAAGACCTCACAATCACATGGCCGGGTTAGCCGGCTGCTGCATTGCCAGCAGGGGGACTGCCTGTAATGACAGTTAGTCCCCCTTCTGGCTGGAAATGAAATAAAATAAAGTTAATCAGTGTAAAAAAAAAAAAATTATATACTTAGATCATACACTGTCTAGGAGTATTTTACTATTAATATATATAATTATATATATATATATATATATATATATATATATATATATATATATATATATATATATTAATATCAAATTACATGTAGACTGATACTGATTAAATATATATATAATTATTGTTATATATATTTATATATAATATAAAAAAATTAAATATGTAAATACGTTAAAAAATAAAATTAAAAAAATAATTTAAAAAAATTAATTAAAAAATATATAGATGTGTGTTATTTCATTCTAACTGTATTGTGATATTAATATATATATATATTTATATCAAAATACACGTAGAATGAAATAATATATATATCTATATACATAAATATATACATATATATCACTAAATATATACACCTATATATAAATAAAAATATTTTAAAAAATTATATATATATATATATATATATATATATATATATATATATATATATATATATATATACACATACATATATTAATTCTACATATATATTTATGTAATATTTTTACATAATTAGGTATTTTAATTAATTACAATTAGCGGGACCTGCCTGACAACCCATGCCGAAAGTATAGGGAATTTAATTTGCTAGCACTATATTTAACCCTATAACTTTCCAAGACACCATAAAACCTGTACATGGGGGGGTACTGTTTTACTCGGAAAACTTCGCTGAACACAAATATTAGTGTTTCAAAACTGTAAAATGTATTACAATGATGATATCACCAGTAAAAGTGACTTTTTGCATTTTTCACACACAAACAGCACTTACACGGACGATATTATTGCTATGATACTTTTTACTGTTTTGAAACACAAATATTTGTGTTCAGCGAAGTCTCCCAAGTACAACAGTACCCCTCATGTACAGGTTTTATGGTGTTTTCAAAAGTTACAGCGTCAAATATAAGGCTTGTGTTTCATTTTTTTCACATTAAAATTCACCAGATTGGTTACGTTGCCTCTGAGACCCTATGGTAGCCCAAGAATGAAAATTACCCCCATGATGGCATACCATTTGCAATAGTAGACAACCCAAGGTATTGCAAATGGGGTATGTCCAGTCTTTTTTGGTAGCCACTTAGTTACAAACACTGGCCAAAATTGGCGTTTTTTTGCATTTTTCACACACAAACAAATATTAATGCTAACTTTGGTCAGTGTTTGTGACCAAATGGCTACTAAAAAAGACTGGACATACCCCATTTGCAATACTTTGGGTTGTCTACTATTGCAAATGGTATGCCATTATGTGTGTAAATTTCATTCCTGGGCTACTATACAGTCCCAATGCAACGTAACCAATCTGGCAAATTTCAGTTTCAAATGTAACATGCTATATTTGACCCTGTAACTTCCCAAAACACCATAAAACCTGTACACAGGGGGTACTGTTTTACACATGAGACTTTGCTGAATACAAATATGTGTATTTTATTGCAGTAAAAGCAAACAGTATTATGACATTGACAGTTAAAATGTCATGTAGAACTAAAAGAATAACCGAATTTCTTATTTTCTCCCATTTTTTTCATATTCAGTTATGTTTCATAGCTAAATATTTGATATTAAATTAAAGCCATGTTTCCCCTGAATACAATGATATATAAGAAGGGTGGGTGCATTTAATATGAAAGAGGTGAATTACGTTTGGACAGACATGTAGTGCAAATGCCAAGTTTTGTTTACGTTTTGTTTCGTTCACGTGTTCATTTGGCTCAGTCCTTAACCCCTTAAGGACCGAGGACGGTTCAGGACCATCATCGGCATTTTTGCATTTCCGACCTGTGACGATCCTAACCGTCCTAACGGTGAACCGTCCTAATGGTCTTATTTACTTATCCGATCGCCGTCGTTCCCCCGGCGGCGATCGGCGGTGCTTCCGGTGTGGGGAGACTGCCTGCAGCCCAGACAGTCTCCCCATGGCGGATTATGACCCCTGTGGCCATGTGATCACTCAACAGAGCGATCACATGGTCACAATAGGTGTCCATGTGTCTGCCTGTATGTGAAAAAAATAAATTAAAGTTAATGTTAATTAAAAAAAAATTATATATGTGTATATAAATATGATATATAGACATTTATTATATAGACATTTATTATATCTATATAATATATGTCTATATACCATATATATAATGTCATACTAAGTGTATTTTTATATTAATATGTACATATATTAATATAAATATACACTTATAATTAAATTACACATATATATATTTATATATATATATATATATAATTATTCCATTCTGGTTCTTGCTTTCAAATCTCTACATAATGCTGCTCCCACCTATCTATCCTCCCTTATACACAAGTATGTCCCGTCTAGGCACTTACGATCTGCTGAAGACTTACGTCTATCTTCTGTCCGTACTCCCACCTCTGATGCTCGCTTTCAAGATTTCTTGAGGGCTGCACCGTTCCTGTGGCACTCGCTTCCCTCCTCCGTTAGATGTTCACCCAGTCTCCACTCCTTCAAAAAATCGTTAAAAACCTACTTCTTCATAAAAGCGTATCAATTAAACTGTTAATAGTCCTGACTGATTCCTCTTCTGCAACTGTCACTAGTCTAATACTATCCTTACCTTTTTGTGTCATTTTAGCCCACTCCCTCTAGCATGTAAGCTCATTGAGCAGGGCCCTCAACCCCTCCGGTTTATCCAACTTGTCTGTTCCTGTGTGTCCAACTCGTCCACCTATTGTAAAGCGCTGCAGTATTTGACGGCGCTCTATAAATATCATAATATTAATAATAATAATAATAATAATATATATAATTATATATATATTCTATATATATATATATATATTATAAAATACAAATAATAAGTAATTTAAATTCAATTAAAATGTAAAAATAATAATCATTTTAAAAAAATTATATATCTATATGAAATTTTATTCTAACTGTATTTTGATATTAATGTGTATATATATATATATATATATATATATATTTATATCAAAATATACTTAGAATGAAATTGTATATATATCTATGTATATATAAATAAATAAAAATAATACGAAATATACATATGTCCATATACAAAATTACATAGATAGTTATATAAATATACACGTAGACTTCAAATATATAAATATGCTTATATATTTAAATTCTACGTGCGTATTTATGTAATATTTTTAGATAATTAAGTAATTTTATTGATTGCAATTTGACGGACCTACCTGCCAACCTAGGCCAAAAGTCCAGAGAATTTAATTTCCTAGCACTGTATTTTACCCTGTAACATTCTACGACACCCTAAAACCCGTACATGGGGGGTACTGTTTTACTTGGGAGACTTCGCTGAACACAAATATTAGTGATTCAAAACAGTAAAACATATCACAGCGATGATATTGTCAGTGAAAGTGACTTTGTTTGCATTTTCCACACACAAACAGCACTTTTACTGATGATATAATTGTTGTGGTACGTTTTCCAGTTTTGAAACACTAATATTTGTATTCAGCAAAGTCTCCTGATTATAACAGTACCCCCCCATGTACAGGTTTTATAGCGTTTTTGAAAGTTACAGGGTCAAATATATGGGTCAAATATTTTTACATTGAAAATGGCCAGGTTGGTTACGTTGCCTTTGAGAGCGTATGGTAGCCCATGAATGAGAATTACCCCCATGATGGCATACCATTTGCAAAAGAAGACAATCCAAGGTATTGCAAATGGGGTATGTCCAGTCTTTTTTCGTAACCACTTAGTCACAAACACTGGCCAAAATTAGCGTTCAATTTAGTTTTTTACTTTTTTCACACAAACAAATATGAACGCTAACTTTGGCCAGTGTTTGCGACTAAGTGGCTACTAAAAAAGTCTGGACATACCCCATATTGAATACCCTGGGTTGTCTACTTTAAAAAAAATATGCACATGTGGGGTGTTATTCAGAGATTTATGACAGATAATAGTGTTACAATGTCACTATTGATAAATTTTCAAAATGTATGTTTTGAAACCACAATATCCTACTAGTACTTATGGCCCTATAACATGCAAAAAAATTGCAAAAAAGCATGTAAAAACTGGGTATTTTTAAACTCAGGACAAAATTTTGAATCTATTTAGCAGTTTTTTTCATTCGGTTTTGTAGATGAGTAAAAGATTTTTCACGTAAACGTAAAAAAACATGTATTTTTTTCAATTTTTCATCATATTTTTTTTAAATTAAATTACATGAGATTATATAAATAATGGTATGTAAAGAAATCCCCTTTTGTCCTGAAAACAACAATATATAATTTGTATGGGAACAGTAAATGAGAGAGTGGAAAATTAGAGCTAAACACAAGGGGTTAAGGACAGAGCTTCAGAAGCTTGTCATTCACTTAACGACAACAGCATTTTTTTTCATTTTTTGCTGTTTGCGTTCAACTGCAATTTGCATTTTACTAATTTATTGCACCGACACATATTATATATTGCTTTTTAAAGGACAGAAAGGGCTTTAATTTGATGTAACACATATATATATATAAATGCTTAATTATTATAAAAAAATACAGAAAAATGCAAAACAAATTGACATTTTTGTGTTTTTTTTACAGTTTTTGCAATAATAATGTGTGCATAATTAGTGCAGGTTAAGGAAAGTAATTAAAAATAAATTCATTTAGTTGTTCTGATTTACAGAATATATAATGTATCTGGGATTTAAAGTTTTTTTTTGGTAGTTACAGGTCACAAAGCACAAGGAGTAAAATAAACTTTTAATGTGGAACAATTTTAGAATTTGGTATGTTTGTCTTGTAAGCTTAATAGCCATAAAATAAAACAAAATTGCCACACAAAAGTATATATTTATATAAAGTAGACATCACAGGCTATTGTCCTAAGGTTGTTTTGACACTTTCTACGTAGCCATTTCACCGCCAACCTCTGCTAAATATTGGAGTAAAATTGTGTTTTTACTCATGTGTATTTTGTAAAGTTGGTGTGTGCTATTCCTGTACAAAGTTTTATTTTGTGTTCTGTTACATCTGCTGAGTAAAATGACACCCCCATTGTATGTCTTTGGCACTATTTCGTGAAGTTACAGTGCCAAATAGAAGGCCTGTTCTTTTCAGTATTCACAGTAGAATTTTGAGAGACGAATTAAATGAGCCTATGCTTCCATTTGGGGTATTATAACAGTTTGACTGTTCAAAAAAGCCCACAAAGGACTACCATTTCTAAAAGTAGACACTCCAGGGTATCTCATAAGGTGCATATTGTGCCTTAACATGCCCCAATTTTTTCACCAATATATGCCAAAGTATGTGGTAAAAAATAATTTTGTGCGTTTTTTACACATGGATTGCATTTTTCCTGGGCATTTTGTATATTTCACATGTGCCACTAAATTCAAACCCCCCAAATTATGCTCAGCTAAGTCTTCTGAGTAAAATGACACCCTTATTGTATGTCTTTGGCACTATTTCGTGAAGCTACAGTGCCATATAGGAGGCCTGTTCTTTTCAGTATTCACAATAGAATTTTGAGAGATGGATTTAATGAGCCTATGCTTCCATTTGGGGTATTATACCAGTTTAACTGTTAAAAAAAAACCCACAAAGGCCTACCATTTGAAAAAGGAGACACTCCAGGGTATCTCATAAGGTGCATATTGTGCCTTAACATGCCCCCATTTTTTCACCAATATATGCTAAAGTATGTGATAAAAAATAATTTTGTGCGTTTTTTACATATGGATTGCATTTTTGCTGGGCATTTTGTATATTTCACATGTGCCACTAAGTTCAAACCCCCCAATTTATGCTCAGCTAAGTCTTCTGAGTAAAATGACACCCCCATTGTATGTCTTTGGCACTATTTCTTGAAGCTACAGTGCCATATAGGAGACCTGTCCTTTTCAGTATTCACAGTAGAATTTTGAGAGACGGATTTAATGAGCCTTTAAAATTTACACCCATAATTATATATATATTAATATCAAATTACACATAGACTGATACTGATTAAATATATATATATATATATATATATATATATATATATAATTATTGTTATTTATATATAATATAAAAAAAAAATATGTAAATATGTTAAAAAATAAAATTAAAAAAAATAATAAAAAAAAATAATAAAAAAATATATAGATGTGAGTTATTTTGTTCTAACTGTATGGTGATATTAATATATATATTTATATCAAAATACACGTAGAACGAAATAATACATATATCTATATACATAAATATATACATATATATCACTATATATATATACCTATATATAAATAAAAATATTTAAAAAAATATTTATATATATATATATATATATATACATATATTAATTCCACATATATATTTATGTAATATTTTTACATAATTAGGTATTTTAATTAATTATAATTAGCGGGACCTGCCTGACAACCCATGCCGAAAGTATAGGGAATTTAATTTGCTAGCACTATATTTAACCCTATAACTTTCCAAGACACCATAAAACCTGTACATGGGGGGCACTGTTTTACTCAGAAGACTTCGCTGAAAACAAATATTAGTGTTTCAAAACAGTAAAATGTATTACAATGATGATATCACCAGTAAAAGTGACTTTTTGCATTTTTCACACACAAACAGCACGTACACGGACGATATTATTGCTGTGATACTTTTTACTGTTTTGAAACACAAATATTTGTGTTCAACGAAGTCTCCCGAGTACAACAGTGCCCCTCATATACAGGTTTTATGATGTTTTCAAAAGTTACAGCGTCAAATATAAGGCTTGTGTTTCATTTTTTTTCACATTAAAATTCGCCAGATTGGTTACGTTGCCTTTGAAACCCTATGGTAGCCCAAGAATGAAAATTACCCCTATGATGGTATACCATTTTCAATAGTAGACAACCCAAGGTATTGCAAATGGGGTATGTCCAGTCTTTTTTAGTAGCCATTTGGTCACAAACACTGGCCAACGTTAGCGTTAATATTTGTTAATAATATTTTTATTTATATATAGGTATATATAGTTTATGTATATAGATATATGTATTATTTTGTTCTACGTGTATTTTGATATAAATATATATATATTAATATCACCATACAGTTATAACAAAATAACACACATCTATATATTTTTTAATTATATATTTTTATTATTTTTTTTTGTTTTATTTTTTAACGTATTTACATTTTTTTTATATTATATATAAATATTTATATAACAATAATTATATATATATATATATATATATATATATTTAATCGGTATCAGTCTACGTGTAATTTGATATTAATATATATATATATATAATAATAGTAAAATACACTGTGTAAGACAGTGTATGTGTGTGTATGTAATATATATATATGATCTGAGTATATAATTTATTTTTTTACACTGATTTTATCTTTATTTTATTTGAATTCAGCCAGAAGGGCACTAACTGTCATTACAGGCAGTCCCCCTGCTGGCAATGCAGCAGCCAGCTAACCCGGCCATGTGATTGTGAGGTCCTCGCAAGGACCTCACTCTCACATGGCCGGGGTGGCTGAGGAGGCAGGATCTGCTGCGGGGGACTCCCTGGGATCCCAGGTGAGTCTCCCCAACCGCGATCACCATCGTGGGATCGCCGGCGATCGGGTAAGTAAGAAAAAAACGGAGGGAGTACAATTACATCCTGCGGCGTTTAGAGCCGCTTAGAATAGGGCCTAATAGTACGCCCTCCAGTTTTAAGGGATTAAGGGGTTAATGAGCACACAAAAGCAACAACACTCATGCAGCAAAACTCCTCCTCCTCAGAGGAAAACAAAATGACAGTTAAGTTCAGTCAGTGTTTGAATATATGACAGTTATAAGGTCAGACAGAGTTTGAATATTTGACAGTTATAAGGGTTTAACTGGTGTTCTGTGGGGCGGGGAATAAAACAGGGGTTTTCTTCACAATTAGGGATTATTCTAGTTTACAGTGAACGAATAATCTAAATTTTATTAAAGACAGGAGGCGAATATTTGCTTATCTTTCTTTACTGAAACTCACAGCAGCAAAGAAATAGTTAATAAAGTTGTAAAAAAATTCAACCAATCATAACACAACATAGAGCAATATAGTGCCACCAGACTCCTCCCACTTCCTCTTTCTTAGGTGGTGCCGATCAGGATAATAGAAACAACTTGAAAACTGGAAACATTCTGCGGTTTAGTCCGTAGCAAGTCAACCATGTAAACGGGTAGATGAAGAGGGTAATCCGAAATTTTCATACTAGAAGAGAAGAAAAGAGACTTCGTGAAAGTATGGTCTCTTGAAGAAGAGAAAATGTACAAATACGCATTCTAAAACAATAGTCCAGAGTATGATGACTGATTTAAGCACATAATGGTACAATATGGAGCAGGTATGCTATGCCACCAGATCAGTGTTAATTGTATGCCTACCAAACAAACTGCAAGGAATGTACAAGTTAGCCCTCCCTGTATAGTACGTGTATGCGTACCAATCAATTTGCAAGGGAGTGTACAATGCAATAATCTCAGAGTGAGAACTTACCTGTAGAGTGGGTTCCAGAGTGAACGAAGGGAGGGAAAATATTCGCCTCCTGTCTTTAATAAAATTTAGATTATTCGTTCACTGTAAACTAGAATAATCCCTAATTTTATGGCAAGACAGGAGGCTTCATATTTGCTGTTTTAACGCTCCTGAATAAAGGAACAAGCCGCATGTGGTGTTGGTTTAAAATAAAAGGTGCGAAAGGTAGATTCTCTTGACCAATCTGCAGAGGCTAAAATATCTGCCAGTGAGCTGCCTGCGCGGAACGCGGAGGATGCAGCCGGTCCCCTAACAGAGTGAGCTCCGAAAGAGCTATCAATTCCTGCTTGGGTAAGCAACCATCTTACCCATCGTGCAATGGTGGGAGAGGAGACCGGTTTGTGAGGTTTAACGTAAGAGACAAACAGAGGTCCAGTAGGGGGACGCAAAGAGATAGTGTTGTCAATGTAACAATGGGTGCACAGGGCCACACAGAGTGACGGCCTATCGGGAAAGTATGGATAAAAGACTGACGAAGAATTCGTCTTAGTGCGTCTAGTAATGGTAAATCTGACACTGTCTGGTGCAAAGGTGACAGCGTGAGAGTCAAAAGCGTGAACTTCTGAAACGCTGCAGAAGGACACCAGACACAGTAGCAAGGCCAATTTCGCAGAGAGTTGGCGTAAGGATAAGGCCTCATTAGGTGGCCAGGAATCCAACAGTGTGAAAAGAGACATCCCAGAACGTAGAGTGTTTGGCAGAAGGTGGCCTCGTCAAACGAATGCCCCGTAAAAGTGTGCACACGGAAGGGTGTTTCCCAACCAAGAAATTGTCAATAGTGTCATGGGCCGCCGAAATGGTGGAACAAAAAATATTAATCGATTGGTAAGATTTACCCTGATCGAAGAGAGATGATAAGAAGTTTAAAATGGGAGAGAGAGGTGTTGAAACGGGATCAAGGTCCCTCTCCAGACACCAGCTAACCCAACTCCGCCAAGCGGAGAGGTAGGTTTGTCTGGTCCTGGAGCCCACAAGTCCCAGAGGAGTGTTTGAGCTGTGCGTGAAAGACCTGCGACATGCCAAGCTCCCCTGAAACTGTCCAAGCTACCAGTTGAAGATGGCCCTGTAGGGCGAGAGGATGGTAATCGCCCATTGGGCTCCTGAGGACTCGAAAGGAGCGAGGAAGAAGGATGGGATAGTCTACTGATAGTTCCAGGAGGGTAGGGAACCAGGTCTGGGCCCTCCATAGAGGGGTGAGTATTACTACCCTGACTTTCTGCTCTTTGACCCGGTGAAGGGTCCGTTGAATCGTCGAGAAGGGAGGGAAAGCATAGGCTCCCTCCCGTGGCCAAGGTTGCAGAAAAGCGTCGACTGCCAGAGATAGAGGGTCTGGTAGCCAGCTGAAGAAATCGTCTGTCTGATGATTCAGGCGAGATGCAAAGAGGTCGAGTGTGAGAGGTCCCCTAGGAAGTGGATGTGATGGAACAGGAGAGGGTCTAATTGCCAGTCGCTGGCATCCCTCCAATGACGCGAAAACCAGTCCGCGACTAGGTTGTCGGACCCAGGGAGATACTCTGCTCGGATGGACAGATTTCGGTCCAGACAGAACTGGTACAGGTCCTTGGTGAGGTCGGACAGAAGTTTGGATTTGGATCCTCCGAGTCGGTTGACATACCGCACCGCGGAGACATTGTCAATCCGTAGTACCAGGGAGCAATTGGAGGCGTCCTTGGCAAAGCTGCGGATCGCGAAGGATCCAGCAATGAGCTCGAGACAATTTATGTGGAGAGCCTGTTCCGATGGGGACCACAGACCTCTTGTGGAGGTTTGGGCACACGTAGCACCCCAACCCAAGAGGCTCGCAGAATAACATCTGGTTGAGACCCGAAAATCGCTTTCCCATTCCAGGCTTTCATGTTGCGAAGCCACCAATGAAGTTCGATGATAACTTCGTCCGTCAGAGGAATGAATTGATCGTAAGAGGTTGAGCGATGCAAGTAGGTTGTTTTCAACCGTTGCATCGCTCTGTAGTGTAAAGGCCCGGGAAATATAGCTTGAATTGATGCGGACAGGAGACCCAGAATGTGTGCAAGGTTGCGGAGCCAAGGCTGTTGCGAAGAAAGCAACTTTTGGATTTCTTTTTTTATGTTTTTTATTTTGGGGTAAGGCAGCTGCAAAGTTGCCTGGACTGAGTCTATTTGAAAGCCCAGAAACTGGACTACCTGAGATAGTTCCAGGTCTGATTTCTGGAAATTTATGACAAAGCCAAGATTTTGAAGGAGAGCAGAGGTCATGTCTGTATGTTTGCGAAGCAAATGTTGGTCTTGGGCCATGATCAGAATATCGTCCAGATATATGATGGAACATATTCCCCGAGAGCGCAGTAGTGCCATGACCGGCTTCATTAACTTGGTGAAACACCAAGGGGTGGAGCAAAGTCCGAAAGGAAGGCAGGTGAACTGCCAAATTTCGCCATGCCAGAGGAATTGAAGGAACGCACGATGACTTGGTGCGATTGGGACCGTGAGGTAAGCATCCTTGAGGTCGAATCTGGAGAACCAGTCTCCCACGCAGAGTAGGTCCCTGAGAAGATGGATACCTTCCATCTTGAAATGGCGATATGTGATGAACTGATTCAGTTCTTTGAGGTTGATAATAGGACGGTGATCTCCCGTCTTTTTCCGTACCAGGAACATGTTGCTGATGAAAGTGTAAGGGAAAGGCGAGGGTTCGATCGCCCCTTTGTCTAATAGTTTGTGCAACTCTGAATCTAAGGTTAGTTTGTCTATGGAGCTAAAGAGCTGTCTGTGGTAGGGTCTTGTGGGTCCAGAGGACCAATGATCTGTGGGTCGGGGGCCTGTAGCCTGCAAAGGCTGCTCTACTGGTAGCTCGGCCCCTGAAGCGACCAGCTCTCCCGGAAAAACGATGAGTTTGGGAGCAGAAGACCCTGCGTAGTGAGGACTGGGCTTTATTAAGTGTTGTAAATACAGAGACATGCTTAGAGAGGTCTCGCATAAAGCTGTCACCAAATAGAAGACCATCTGCTTCTGGTCCCAATTCCTTAGAGCTTAAGTCTACTAATTTAGCGTCAATTTTATAAAGTGCCGCTTTTCATCTTTCTATTGAAATTGCCACGTTTGCATTGCCTAATAAGCAAAGAGCTCTCTGAGCCCATTCTCTGATAGTGTGTGGATCGAATTCACCACTAGTGAGTGCCTCATCTGCCAGGATAAAAATCTGTATTATGGGACCTGAAATGTCCAAAAGCTTGTCTTGGGCTGCTTTTAACCCTTGCTCTATACCCTTACGAGGGTCTTTGCCAGATTTAGTCAAAAAGGTGACCAGCATGGGGTCGAATTCAGAGGTAGAGGCAACTTTGCCAGGAATAGTAGGTCTTGGGCATTCAGCCCTCAATTTATTTCTGACTTCTTTTTCGAGGGGCTTGCGAAGCCACATTTTGCAGTAACTGGCAATGTGATCAGGAGGGGTCCATTCTGCAGACCGTGGGTGGCGAATCACCCTTGGATCAAAAAGGGGGAGGCCTGAAGCATCCAGGAGGGTGTCTGAAGCAGGCTCTTTAGTTGGAGGGGCACCTTTAGCATCTTGAACATGAAAGGTTTCCTTAATAAACTCTGATGTTGAGGAATCCTGGGGCATATTCACCGTAGGATCCTCATCAGAGTAGGTGGTGTCATAGTCGTTTAAAATATGACCAGCTAGTCTGGAAGTAGAGCCCTCTAGAGGGTCTGACGGGTTCTGCATAATAAATGTTTTAGAATGTTTGAGGATTTTCGCAGGAGCTTTTCCTTTGCCTGCAGTAGCGCTATTCCCTTTCCAGGGTCTTTTGCGCGGGGCACTTTCTTGGTCTGAAAGGTGAGAATCCTCTGAGTCAGAGGGTTGGCGTGTAGAGGGATTAACCTCTGTAGTAGATTGCTCATGATAAGCTGCCAGAGCTTTGGGAATGGACTCTGCAATGGTGGCAAATAGCCAATCCCGAAGTTCTGCAGAAATAGCAGGGTCTTGGTGTTCCGACATTTTTAATGTTTAAATTATGGGATTGACAAAGGGCAGATTAGTAACTACAGGTAAGTGTAGTAAAATTATAAGGCAGTGTTGATAAGTGACAAAAAAATGAGGCAACTCAACTAGTATAATGGAGAGGTGGGGGTCACCCACACGAACTGAAAAACCAGTGGGGGTCACCCACAATTATTAGGCACAATAAAGAAAGGGGGTCACCCTTTAACAAATGGTGAACAGCAATAAAACGTGTATATATATATATTCAGATAAGTAAGCCCAACGAGGTAGGGTTGCCCACTACAGAGCACCCTGTCAAACTAAAGTGGGGGTCACCCACAAATAACAAAGTGGTATCTGCCAAATTTTTTTTTATTTTTTTTTTTAAATATAGGCAGTAGTTATGGTGGAGTTAAGTAGTAAAAGAAAGTGGGGATCACCCACAAAATAGGCAGGGTGGTGTCAGCCACGCAAAATATTGTTGGCAGTAGTTGTGGTGGGGGTCACCCACAAATGAAACAGAAGGTGGTGTCAGCCACACAATTTTAATAAAGAAAGTTGTACAGTGAATTATCACTTTAATATAAAGGGGGTCACCCAATAGTTTAGCAGGCAGGACTTGCTGAGCAAAATAAACCTGCAATGATAAGGAGAGAGAAAGATCAGTGTGCTGATCTTAAAAAGGCAAAACTTGTCATATGTATAATAAATGGTATAACCAATTAACTTACCTTCCAGATAAGTAACAATAGTGCCCAGAGATGAGGAAAAAACGCTGTGGATTGAAAAAACACAAGTGCCGCGATTAAAGATGGCCGCCGCAAGAAGAAGGGGCGGAGCCGCCGTATAGGCGGGAAACCAGTAAGGAGAAAGGGCGCGAAGGCTGTAACAGGAGACCAACGGTCTCCTGGGAAATGGAGTCCCTCACTAGGTAGTTTCCTGACGGGAGGGGAGGAGGGGAGGAAAAAAACCCGGCGGGCAGTTTCTGTGTGCGACCGAAAACTGCTTAGACTTGTAATTAAAGGTGTAGGGTACTTAAAACAGAATATAATAAAAGAGGACATATTCCACTGAAAAGGAAAATAAGACACTTGTAAAAGACATATTAAATTAAACAAAAGGTGTTAAAAAGAAAATTAACCTAAAACTAAAACTAAACTGTTGTGGAAATAAGGTCTGCACATATTTCCTAGTTAGTAAAAATGTCTATTTACTCACTCCACGATATATCATATATAAAGCTAAGCACACATGTTTTAACCAAAATGGCTGCTAGAAGCTTCTAACCCTTTCCCCCCCCTTCCCTTTTTAAAACCAACTAACTACCTCGTGCAGCAAGATGGCGCCGGGAAACCGTGGGAGACCCTCATGGCCCCGGTGACATCACCTACAGTAGGCAGAGCATTAGAGCAACCACTTAACACCTAACCAATTATTGATGTATTATTCCATGTTATCTCTGACAATGCTTATGATGTAATTCTGCTTTAAAAGGGACCTGCCGTCCCCTCTGAATAAACTTTCCTCAAGTTATTCAACAACCTGGAACCTGTGTCTGGTGTGAATTACTTCAGGGAGTGTGCATGCATTGTTTCATTGATTTGGCCAGGGGCAGATACACAAAGAAATAATCAATACATTGATTGATTTTTCCATTTCAAAACTAAACTAAAACTATTATTGAGCTATCTCAGGATAGGAAAACAGATAAAAATCATCAAATAATCTTAGAGAATTTTAAATTTAAGTACTGAAGCTAGGCAACATAATTAGAATAGACTCACCTGGGAGGCAAGCAGCAAAGAAAGAGGAAGTGGGAGGAGTCTGGTGGCACTATATTGCTCTATGTTGTGTTATGATTGGTTGAATTTTTTTACAACTTTATTAACTATTTCTTTGCTGCTGGGAGTTTCAGTAAAGAAAGATAAGCAAATATGAAGCTTCCTGTCTTGCCATAAAATTTAAAGCTGCACACTGCTCCAATATAATTTAAAGGGGCAGACAGAGTACAATAAAATCCAATATGCCCAAATAACATTTTTTAAAGGAAGCTGGCAATTAGTCCTCTCCAGGCACAAGTGGTGAAGGGCACTTCGTCACACATCTTCCCATTGGGAGGGAGACTAACCAGGTACCTGACCTTCTGTCGGTCAGTACCTGAGTTAGTCAAGTAGCCCACCCACAACAAACAGTTAACAGAGTAGCCCACCCACAATACACCATTACTGCACCTGGTGATTCCTGGTGTCCGGCTCTGGCCTGTATGTCCCAGGTTGCTGAGGGGAACTAGTGGTCAGAGGCCAGCGGCGCTCTGTCCGGATGCCAGTGCTTCTGCTGGGTTGGCCGGTGGGTATTCAGGTTCTGAAGAAGAGGGCAAGGGATGGCAGAGGCCGACCGCGCTCTGACCGGATGCCAGCTCTTCTGCTGGAAGGGGGTCAGTGGAGGCTAACATCTTCTCCATTAAACCCAGTACCGGGTTAGGGGTTGGCTGTGGAGGGGAGGGGTCGCCTACCTCCTCCTTCTGGTACTCCTGCTGCCGCTGGGGAGCGAGACCGATTGTCTCCTCTCCCTGAAGCTCACACTGCCGCTGGGGAGAGAGCCCGGTTGCCTCCTCTTCCTGGAGCTCCAACTGCAGTTGGGGATCTAGGCCAGCTGCCCAACATCCCTGTAGGGCCGGTAGAGAGACCTCAGTCCAATTTTCACCTGCCATTTGGGGGTTCTCCCAGTGCCAGTCTATGAGATCCCCCAGGACTTGGGAATAAGGACCACCCGCCTCCTCTCTCTGTAGCTCTGGCTGTAACTGGGGATCTGGGCCGGCTGCCCAACATCTTTGTAGTGCCGGTAGAGAGACCTCGGTCCCATCTCCACCTGCCATTTGAGGTTCCACCCAGTGCAAGTCTATGAGGTCCCCCAGGACTTGGGAATAAGGACCACCTGCCTCCTCTGCCGGTAGCTTCAGGTGCAGTTGGGGATCTGGACCGACTGCCCAGCATCCCTGTGGGACCGGTAGAGAGACCTCGGTCCCATCTCCACCTGCCTGTTGGGGTTCCTCATAGGACCAGTCTATGAGGTCCCCTACGTCGAGTACCTCTGGCTGCTTCTGGGGAGAGAGGCTAACCTTCTTTCGATGGAGGCTTCTTTTCCTCGCTTTAGCCAGCAGGAATTCTTGGTCCCTCTTTGCTTCTCTTTCGACAGTTACCTGATTCCAGGTATCCATGGACACATCAGGGCCAAACCAGGCCACTCGCTGCCTCACCTCGGCCAGAAAATCTTCGCAAGAGTCAGAGTATGCCATACTTGCTTGCTCCAAGTCAATGGACACCTCTGCTTCCAGGGGCGCTGCACGAATTCTAGCGTTGCCCTCACTATGATCAACACGTTACCAGTGTCTTTGAGCTGCTTCTCCTCGCACTAGGACGCCATCCCACCGCTTGCCACCAAAATGTGACGGACCCGTTGGCACTCCGACCAAGTACCTCCGCCAATCGATGCTCCTAGTGCTTGCCGAGGACTCCAAGCACGCCAACCGACACCATCGGCACTGCAGACTTATCCCATCCCCCAAGCATGAGCCAAGGCTTCAAGAAAGGGACAAGCAGGTCTGTTTAATGAGCACACAAAAGCAACAGCACTCATGCAGCAAAACAACTCCTCCTCAGAGGAAAACAAAATTACAGTTAAGTTCAGTCAGTGTTTGAATATATGACAGTTATAAGGTCAGACAGTGTTTGAATATTTGACAATTATAAGGGTTTAACTGGTGTTCTAGGAGGGTGGGGGGGGGGGAAATAAAACAGGGGTTTTCTTCACTATTTAAAGCTACACACTGCTCCAATATAATTTAAAGGGGCAGACAGAGTACAATAAAATCCAATATGCCCAAATAACATTTTTAACCCTTTAAGGACCAAACTCCTGGAATAAAAGGGAATCATGACATGTCACACATGTCATGTGTCCTTAAGGGGTTAAAGGGCAAAATCTTCCAGGGGCCATAGTCGCAGGGCAGGAGGCTGGCAATTAGTCCTCTCCAGGCACAAGTGGTGAAGGGCACTTCGTCACAACTGTCTTTTCAGAGAAAATGCAGTGTTTGCATTACAGCCTAGTGATAACTTCACTGGCCACTCCTCACATGGCTGTTAGAGATCCTTTCTGGGTCATGGCTGCCTAAAATGCATCCAAATATTAACCCCTAAAACCGGAGGGCGTACTATTACGCCCTATTCTAAGCGGCTCTAAACGCCACAGGGCGTAATAGTACACCCTCATGGTTTTTGTTACTTACCCGGTCGCGGCGAATCCTGCCTCCTCCGCCCCCCACCCCACCATGTGAGAGTGAGGTCCTTGCAAGTACCTCACAATCACATGGCCGGGTTAGCTGTCTGCTGCATTGCCAGCAGGGGGACTGCCTGTAATGACAGTTAGTCCCCCTTCTGGCTGGAAATCAAATAAAATAAAGTTAAAATCAGTGTAAAAAAAAATTATATACATACTGTGTGGCGAAACCGGCCTCGCTACGTGTCCTTGGAGGGGGCTGCTTGCCCGCCTCTTGCCTTTGGACTATGGACCAGACTTTATGTGAATGTGTTAACCCAGATAGCTATGCCATGGAGCCCATTCGTGTAGTTAAAGACTTCGGCTCCATGGCAATTGAACTGTGTGAATAGGATCTGAGCGCTATTCGGTAGTTTTGTGCGCTCAGATCCCAGCTATCTGGGGATATGTGAAATGTCT